CTGCCAAGGCTATGGAAGCCTCTTGAGTTCACAAACTCTGACATCATTTAGACAAGGCCATAATCAAAGTGTAAGTTCTCTCCTCCCTTCAGAGAAAGGTACCTCCTCCTTTGATGGCCCATTCTTTCTGCTGGGATCTCACTCACAGAGATCCGTCATTTAGCTCATTCTCTGCCACAATGTCTTAGCTTTCCATGCCTGAGAAACTTTCATGGGCTTTTTACTGGCTGCTCTATTTCCAATCAGCTAGCTCCCTGCTACCGTGCCTGGGAAAGCAGTGGAGAATGGCCCAAGTGCTTGGGCCCCTGGCAGCCACATGGGAATTTGGGATGAAGCTCCTAGGTTTGGCCTTGCCCAGCTTCAGCCATTGCAGCCATTTGGGGAGTGAACCAACCAATGGAAGATCTCCCTCCCTCCTTCTCTTGCTGTAACTCTTCCTTTCAAGAAAATAAAACCTCTTTTTTTTTTTTTTTTTTTAGAAAAAAAGGTATGCATCACAAACAAGTTTCAAATACATAAATTTCTAGAAAGTCTGTATCCTAGGGGCCAGCACTGTGGCACAGCAGGTTAAAGCCCCAGCCTGCAGCACTGGCATCCCATATGGGCACCGGTTTGAGTCCTGGCTGCTCCTCTTCCGATCCAGCTCTCTGTTATAGCCTGGGAAGGCAGTAGAAGATGGCCCAACTTCTTGGGCTCTTGAACTCGCATGGGAGACCTGGAAGAAGCTCCTGGCTCCTGGCTTCAGATCAGCTCAGCTCTGACCGTTGCAGTCTTTTGGGGAGTGAACCAGGGGATGGAAGACCTCTTTCTCTCTCTCTCTCTAGCTCTACCTTTCTCTGTAACTTTGCCTTTCAAATAAATAAAATAATTCTTAAAGAAAGTCTGTAACCCACCCTCATATTTAATTGGTTGTTTGAATACAGAATTCTTGGTTGGAAATTGTTTTCCCCTCATGTTTTGAAAGTGTTACTCCTTTGTCTTTTTGCGTCCATGTGCTTGTCCTGTGTTATGAAATTTTAACATAATGTGCCTTAGTGTTGCCCTATTTTCTTTCTTTCTTTTTTTTTTTTTTTTTTTTTTTTTGACAGGCAGAGTGGACAGTGAGAGAGAGACAGAAAGGTCTTCCTTTTGCCGTTGGTCCACCCTCCAATAGCCGCCGTGGCTGGCACGCTGCGGCTGGCGCACCCGCTGATCCGAAGGCAGGAGCCAGGTGCTTTTTCTGGTCTCCCATGGGGTGCAGGGCCCAAGCACTTGGGCCATCCTCCACTGCACTCCTGGGCCACAGCAGAGAGCTGGTCTGGAAGAGGGGCAACCAGGACAGAATCCGGCGCCCCGACTGGGACTAGAACCCGGTGTGCCGGCGCCACAAGGCAGAGGATTAGCCTAGTGAGCCGTGGCGCCGGCCCATGTTGCCCTATTTTCCTCCATTGTTTTGATTCTAAAAATCGATGTATTCCTTGTGAGGAGTTTTACTGGGTAATTTTTTGATGATTATTTTTTCCCTCTGATTTATCTATTCTTTGCTTTCAGAGTTTCTTACTCGATCATTGGAACTCCTGGAGGTCTTTTGCTTTTCTATCCTATTTTCCATCTTTGTCTTTTGCTGTACTCCAGGAGTGTTTAACCTAACTCTGTTGTCATTCACTCATTCATTTATTTAACAAGTTTTTGAGTCCCAACTGTGCACCAGGTCAGGTTCAAGCTGATGGAAAGGCTGCTGTGAAAAAAACTAAATCCTTGTCATCACTGTGCAGTCTTTGGATGCTACAACTGAGTATTTTGTTTCTGCTGCCAAATTGTAAATATCCAAGAACTGTTTGCAATCTCCGAGTCTTCCTTCTTCATTAAATCCTAGTCTGTGCCCTTGGCTGCACTGTCTTAGATCTTTGAGCATTTTAATCCATTTCTTTGAAGTTTTCTTCTTGTAACAGTTTGCATTTCCTCCAAGGTGCCTTTGTTTATCTGTTTGTTTTTGGCTTATATTTTTCTTTTATTTATTTACTTGAGAGACAAAGAGAAACAGACAGATAGCGAGAATTCCCATCTGATTCACTCCCCAGATACCTGGTCAGCTGTGAGTGGGTCAGGACAAAACAGGAACCAGAAACTCAATCCAGGTCTCTCACATGGGTGGAAATCTCCTGAGCTAAGTCACCCAGATCATTAAGCACAGTTCCTACTTTCCACATTGCTGTAGGCAATAATGTTAAGTTTCTATTGCTACCTAACAGAGATCCCTCCCCCTCTAGTTTCCAAGATATGCTTCTTACTTCTTTTGACTGCTCAATGTCATTGAAGTCCAAATTTCTACCAACAGCCTGTCCAACTTCATTTAGGTGTTCTCTAGAACATACATCATAAATCTTCCCAGGCTTCATTCATGGGCCATTATAAAGCCACTCCCCAATTTTAAATATTTTATAGCATCAACCCACAGGTGGTGTCATATTAGGGATATATTACTATATAAAAAGTTATCCCAAACTTATCTGTGTAAAACATTAAACAGGGGCTGGCACTGTGGTATAGAGTAAAGCTGCCACCTACAGTGCCCCCATCCCATGTGGGCGCCGGTTCGAGTCCCAGCTGCTCCTCTTCTGATCCAGCTCTCTGCTATGACCTGGAAAAGCAGAAGGTGGCCCAAGTCCTTGGGCCCCTGTACCCACATGGGAGACCAAGAAGAAGATCCTGGCTCCTGGCTTCAGATCTACGCGGCTCCGGCTGTTGCGGCCAACTGGGGCATGAACCAGCGGATGGAAGACCTATCTCTGCCTCTCCTTCTCTTTCTGTGTAACTGACTTTCAAATAAATAAATAAATATTTTTAAAAACACATTAAGCAGTGATTATTCTACCATTCCTATGGGGCGAGAACCCAGATGTGACTTAGTAGGGTCCCTCTGCCCTAAGATCTCTCCCAAGGTTGCAACCAAGGGGCCAGCTGAGGCTTGTTCTCAGCTGAAAACTGGGCTAGGGGAGGATCCACTTCCAAGCTCTCTTAAGTGACTGTTGGTGGAATTCAACATTTCATGGGCTATAGAATTGAAATCCTCAATTCTTTGTTGCTGGCTGGGAACAACTTTTGATTCTCTGCCATGTGGACTTCTCCACTGGGCAGCACACAATATGGCATTCGGCTTCTCCCAGGGCTAGTGAATGAGAGCCTGAAATGGGGAGTCCCAAAACAGAACTGCAGTATTTTTATAACCTAATCTCATAGGTGTGATGCCACCACTTTTGTTACATTCCATCAGTTTGTCATGAAACACAAAGTACAGTCTTCACTTAAAGGGAGGAGACGACACACGAGCATAAAGGTCAGGAGGCAGGGATTTGGGGGAACTTACCTGGAAGCTGTCAGCCACAAGACTACACTACAATATACTGTGACATAATACGATACAATAGAATAACAGATACAATAAGACAACATGTGTCCGGCGCCGCGGCTCACTAGGCTAATCCTCTGCCTTGTGGCGCCGGCACACCGGGTTCTAGTCCCAGTCGGGGTGCCGGATTCTGTCCCAGTTGCCCCTCTTCCAGTCCAGCTCTCTGCTGTGGCCAGGGAGTGCAGTGGAGGATGGCCCAAGTGCTTGGGTCCTGCACCCCATGGGAGACCAGGAGAAGCACCTGGCTCCTGCCATCGGATCAGCGCGGTGCGCCGGCCACAGCACGCCAGCCACGGCGGCCATTGGAGGGTGAACCAACGGCAAAGGAAGACCTTTCTCTCTGTCTCTCTCTCTCTCTCACTGTCCACTCTGCCTGTCAAAAAAAAAAAAAAAAAGACAACATGAGCCCAAACATTGAGAAGTCAAAGCAACAGAAACACAGATTAGAGAGCAAAGGCCTCCTCTTCAGATGAGTTCTTGCCAGGCTCACATTTTAGCATTGCAGTATTCATCATCACACTGGACTCCTTTGTTGCTTGATTATGCAAACTTTCCTAGGCCTTTAAAATCTAATTATGGTTTTTAGGCAATCGCTTGCATGATATTAAATTTGTTTAAGTCAAGTATTGTGTAACTAGGGGAACTACTGTAATTTAGAGGAGAGAAACATATACTGAGAAATGTAATCACAACATCCATAAAATCTGTGGCATTAGAAGAAACCTCAATTTCCTGGCATGACACTGACAGCGCCTGCTGTGGCTCTTCCAGCTTTGCTGCTTATCTTTCTGTGCTATCTGTTTGTAAGATTCATCACTGATTCTCAGATAAGCCATTCATTTGCCAACCACAAAGCACTAATTGAGTACCTGCTGTATGAGAGGCCCTGTGCTCCACACACTGCACCCCACCCCTCAAGAGAATAAGTCATGATCCCTGTCCTGTGGAGCAGGCAGTCTGATGGGGAAGTACACAGGTGAAAACATCCTTACAAAACCCTTAAGCTGGCTCTCAGTAATTCTCTAGAATTCACAGGTGCATAAGGCTGGGGACAGGTAGTGGAGGTGGCAAGATTCAGCAGACCCCAAACAAGGGGTCATTTTGTTTCTTGTTTCAAAATTCTGTCCAAATATAAGGAAATAGAAAAGGAAACTTGTCTTTTAACAAGCCCCATAAAGATTTTGTCTACCTGAGTGTATAGGCCACAGGTGAAAAGGTTAAAGGCCATAGGTGGAAGGTTAAAGGAGATATTTCAAGGAGCACTTCCAAGCCCAGGTCTATAAAAAAATTGAAATGTGCTGCATTAAACCACTCTTCTATTCATTCTCTTTTTCTGTCCCAGCCAGGCTGGGCTTCCGTCACTTTCTCCCGTAAGCTTTGCTCCGTTTGCTCCATGCTTGGAGCCTTGAATGTGCTGGGTCCTCTACTATGGCACTCCCTCCACCCAATCATCCCTGCTCTTACTGATCCGCGCCCCCTCTTCAGCTCAGCTTGAATGTTAGTTCCTCTGAGAAACTTCTCATGACCACTACCACACCCACACCAAAGGAGTCCCCACTGCATGCTCGCATTAGCATCAAAGCTCTCGGGATCTAACACTCTTTATACTTACTCAGTGTCTGTCTGTCTCGACTGCTGGATTTGAAAACTCCCTGAGGACAAAGGCATTGGTTGTCTTGCTCGTCATCAAATTCCCAGACTCAAGCAAAGTCCATGGCCTGCGGGAGGGTAGAGTTGAAGGTATGAATAAATGAATGAATAAGAGTGTTCTCTGTTTCCAGAAGTAGTTACAGTATCATTTGATGGAGATGTTATGGTGAAGATTCTGGATCCCAACAAAAGTTGGGACTTCAGGATGCAGCACCTGAATTTTTAGCTCTGTTCCAATCCTACAATTTTAGAATACAGCAGAGAATAAGGTCATAGTAATGCTGTCCTTCACCTACAATGGAAACAGTCTACTATTTGAAGCATATAATAAAGTCCAATAATTTTACCAGTTAAGTTGCAAATCAACCCCATGGGTAAGATAAATACAAAGAAGATAACTGCTTGCTTTCTTTACTGGTACCCTTCAAAGGTAAAGAAGGCAACTGATTGAGTGAAGATTCATAAAGAACCCACATCCAGAGCTGAAGTCTTACTTTTCTAAGGTCTGCTCACCTGCTGCCTCATTGATAGGATAGTTTTGTTCTTAATATTATTTAGCTCATAGTCAACCGTGAGCATATGATGACATCCATGAAACTTCCCTCAGAAAATACACACGGGGCAGGTGTTGTGGCATGGTGAGTAAAGCCAGCATCCCATATGGGCACTAGTTCTAGTCCCAGCTACTCCACTTCCAATCCAGCTCCCTGCTAATGCATGGGAAAGCAGCAGAGGATGGCCCAAGTCCTTGGGCCTCTACACCCTCGTGGGAAACCCAAAAGAAGCTCCTGGCTCCTGGCTTTGGTCTGGCCCAGCACTGGCCACTGTGGCCATTTGCAGAGTGAACCAGCACATGGAAGATTTCTCTGTCTCTCCCCTCCTCTCTCTGTGCTCTGCCTTTCAAATAATTTTTAAAATTAAAAATTAAAAATACACATAAACAGGACAGGCAATTAGCTCAGTAGTTAACATGTTGCTTAAAATATCCACTCCATGTCAGAGTGTCTGAATTTGAATCCTGGCTTCAGCTCCTAAATCCAGTTCCTGCTGATGCACACCCTGGTGGGCAGCAGGTAATGGCTCAAGTACTTGAGTCGCTACAACCTACATGAGAGATCAAACTGAATTCCTGACTCCCCCAGACATTGCAGGCATTAGGGAAGTAACCAGAAATGGGAAAGCACTCTCTCTCTCTCTCTCTCTCTCTCTCTCTCTGTCAAATAAAAAAACATTAGTGTACGTAGACATGTTTATTAAGAAACTTACTTATTGTTTCAGAGTTTCCTTCATCTCTGTAGGGTTCATGACCAGATTTGAAGTTGAGAAGTTCTGGCCAGGCATGAAGTAGTAACCAAGATTCACAAACAGCTAAGTGGGAGAGGTGTTCCTAAGGACTCAGGTAATAAAATGCATAGTTTCCCTTCCCTTCCAAAATCCTTATTGAGTGATTTGAGTCTCCCATGTGAGTGGCAGAAATCCAACTACTTGAGCCATCACCTGCTATTTCCCCAGGTGCACATCAGCAGTAAGCTGGATTTAGGAGATGGAGGCAGGACTCAAACTCAGGCACTCTGATATGGAACACACATGTCTATTTTTAAAGATTTATTTATTTATTTGAAAGAGTTACAGAGAGGAGAAGCTGAGAGAGAGAGAGAAAGTGAGAGAGAGAGAGAGAGAGAGAGAGAGAGAGAGAGAGGTCTTCCATCCACTGGTTCACTCCCCAGTTGGCCGCAATGGTGAAGCTGCACCGATCTGAAGCCAGGAGCCAGGAGCTTCTTCCGGGTCTCCCATGCGGGGGCGGGGGCCCAAAGACTTGGGCCATCTTCTACTGCTTTCCCAGGCCATAGCAGAGAGCTGGATCAGAAGTGGAGCAGCCAGGACTTGAACCGGCGCCCATATGGGATGCTGGCACTGCAGGCAGTGGTTTTACCCCTATGCCACAGTGCCAGCCCCAGAACACATGTATCTTAACCAGCATCTTAAATGGCAATGACAAAAGCAGATCTGATAATGACCAGCTGCACCCAGCCACTTATATAGACAAGTGGAAAGACAACATGATGGAAAGACCAGAGAGAGGTCTTATAAATTCCTTGAGCTCAGAGTCTGTGTCTGCTGTTACGGCAGAATCCCAAGGGAAAAACAGACAGGTGGGCACTGGGCTTAGTGACTACGATGCCCATACCCCACATAGTGGTGCCTGGGTTTGATGCCCATATCTGCTCCCCACTCCAGCTTCCGGCTGATGCAGATCGTGGGAAGCAGTGGTAATTAGGTTCCTGCCACCCACATGGGGCACCTAGATTGTGCTTCCAGCTCCAGACTTCAGCCCCAGCCCAGCCATAGCTGTCTAGCTGTTATAGGTATTTGGGTAATGAACCAGTAGATGAGAGATCTCTGTGTATGTCTCTCTCTCTCAGCTTCTCAAATAAATAAAAATGTAAGATTAAATCAGACAATGAAAGGGAAAGACTCATGGAACTCTTCAAAAGGAGAGACACAGGTGAAAAGAAACAGATGGGACTACAACAAGAACCAGAAACAGGTAGCAATGGGGAGATAGAGAACAAGAGATAGAAGAAGTAGGACCCAAGAGAGAAGTTTCGTCACCTCAGCCATGGCCTCCCCACAATTAGCTACAAGGCTGCCATGAGCACGCTAAGCTGGCCAACTGTGAAGCTGTTTAACTTGTTAGGATTTAATCAATAAGAACCAGTGTAACATTCGTGCTTCATGTTCCTCTTATTTACACAAAAGACAAACTGAAGAAAAACTCTATTTCTCCAGCCAAAAACATTTCCTCCAGGGAGCCAAGCTCCTTCAAAGTCAACAACAAAATGGTGAGGGGGAAAAAAAATTAAGCACTTCGGCAAGGCTATATTTAGATCCAGCCCAAAGATGGTTTCTGAGCTTTCTACTTCTTTCCAGCTGGTTCCAATCTCAGAAAATCTCCTCAATTAAATTGCCACCAATTTGCAGTCTCCTGTGGAGGCCTCTGGTCCCTTTCAAGCGAGAGGCGGGAAGAGTGGCTAGGAAGAGGAGAGCGGCAGCTCAGGGAGCCAAGTTCAATTCCTACTTCATCCGTCCTGAGCAGCCATGCCCCGGCCACATCCACAGGGGCCCTGATGCTGCCTCCAACCCTTGGCAGGCCAGGGAGACAGGAAATGCAGCCTCGTCAACAGTCCCTAGCTTTGAATCCTGGCCCTGATTCTCACGGCCTACGTGACTTAGCTGGTGACTTGGCCTCTCACGCCCTAGCTTGCTTTTCTGTAAAAATGGGGGTAATGACACTCACCCTATGGGGTTCTTGTCTTGGAAGGTATTGTCTTAGCCTTACACCTGTCACAGCAAATAGCTGCAGGTGTAATGAAAACATTCCCACCCCAGCGCCCACAAAAGCTGACATGGTGCTGTTTGTGAGCACTGACACCATGTGCTGAAAAGATCTGACAAAGCCTATTTCACCACCACACAGAAAAAAAACAGGTCTGCGTCACCTCTGGGTGTTCCATAAGCATCTGGCAGAGGAAGACAGTGGGCAGCAGTCACAGCTTTACCTATCAGTATGGGCTCAGTCAAGGTCTGCATCGCCCACCCAGGCTCCTGGAAACTTCTCCAGAACATGACAGTCCTTGTGGCTCGATCTCTCCTTAATCTGTCTATTCAACCCGGTGCTCTTTAAAATCAAATCAGTCACTCAGAGGGAGGAGCCCAGGCCCCGCTTGGAGTGGGTGCACTTGGCAAAGACTTCGGCAGGCCGAAGGAGGAGGCATTAACATTCGCAAGGGCAACGAGTCTCAAGCCAGTAGCCCGGGCGTCCGCCTCATCTGCATGGGCGATAACACACCGTGTGTTGTCTGCAAGGCCGAAACAGCCCCGGGAGCCACTCAGCCGTCTCCAGGAAATGGCTAAATGGCAGGTCAAATTGCCCATAACTTTGACGAGGAGGATGGCTGGATGATTCCAGGACCTCTCTGGGGAGAAATGAAACTCAGAATTTCAAGCGTCAAGAAAAGGAATCATAAAAAAAAAAAAAATACCCAATGTGGAATTACATCCTGCCATAAACTGGGGAAGGACTCGGGATGCAGAGACACCCTTGTGTGAGCAGCGCACATTTGTCAGGAAACAGCCTCGCCCAGCTGGACCAGGCCGTTTGCCTTCAGAAGAGGCCTGGCAGGGCCAAACCATCCAGACATCTGCAATTATAGCAAATCAATTTGTTTTTAAATTATAAGGCTGCCGGGAAGAGTCGACTCCCTGCTGGAAATACGCTCCGTGGTGCTCCGTGGCAGCCGTTATGAGATGATGTGGTGAGACCACCAATCTGTCCAGATTGGGAGGGCATAGGATTTATGAGGCTGGGTGTGCAGCCAACACCAAGCAGCAGGGGAGGGCAGGCAAGCTCTGAGCTGGCCCCTCTCCCACTCCAATAAGGCTCTTGATCCGCAAATGTCTGGCATGGCCACAACCCAGCACATGCACAAGTTACCAGAGTGTCCGCCTTAGAGGACCTTGGCATTCACTTACGTGAACTACAGCCACAGGAGAGGTGTTGCTTGTCACTCGGTCACATGTGCTCAGACCAGGTGAAGAGATCACTGCAAGAGGTTGGAATAATTCTAGTCTCTCAGGGTCAGAGCAGCACCTCCTGCGTGGAATCACCCTTCCTCTGCTTGCACGTGGCAAAAGCATTGGCAGGTGAGACAGACAGGCATTGCCCCATCACCCGGAGGGCCCTGTGGTTATCTTCATAGAACTGCATATGGCCTCTAGCCCAGTGGACAGGTTGGCTTGTCTTCACTGAAGGGCTGCAGGAAGTGCCCCGATGCGCTCAGAGGCAGGAGAAGGGACTTTCTCACTGTCCACCTTGCCTTTGTGCCTCAAGGTGGAGGTGAAGGCAAGGCCTCACCCTCTGAGGTCCACTTAGCCAGACTTCACTCCCCAGCCCTCTCCTCCATAAGGCCCTGTCACCCAGTGTCCCTCCTCCCCTCTCCAGACCCTCCACCTCTTCCAAACGCAGGTGAACCCTGGTCTAGAATCCTTTCTTGTGGGACCTCTTTCT